GTACCGTTGTAGAATGTAGTTGTTCATCTCTTTCTATTGGTTAGCGGAATTTCAAGTCAAAGTCGTAAGTACATACCTTGTGGGGAAGCAAGTCCACGGCGAATAGCTCTTGGAGAGCATTTCTGATCCTCTTCACTGTGATTTCTTCTAGGTCGGCGACACTGAGGATAGCCTGGCGTTAGCATTGTCTAAGAACAAAAGCAATTCCAACATACGTCAATCATAGGCCGGTAGTGTTCCGGGTCGTAGGTACTCATCTGGAATGGTTTACTCCATCTACAGCATTTGAGACATGGAGTTGCGAATGTATCGAACCCGTCTCTGTGCAGGTCGCCAATTTAGCAGACCATTGTGATTTTAGACTGTCCTGGACGGATCTCGTGACGGTGATTTGCTGGTGACTCATGAGGTTTTATTACGATTTTGTCAAATTTGGGTGTTTTGAAATTCGGGTGAAGGGTGTATCGGGTGGCCTGGCTTGAGGTAGGGAGTGTACGTAGAAACGTCAAACCGGGGGACTTCCGAAAGGAAAAAGGAAATATTTTCATTCGATTTCGGAAGTGCTGTCTCATGTTTGACTGAAGGAATTGAATATCACGAGGAACGAGATTTTAATGTTTATTTGGGTATGCTGTATCAGGTTATGTACGGTGCTGTAAGGGTGCAGTAAGGGTCTGCGTCCGAATATTGTTAGACCGATTTAACGGACATGCAAAATTAAGCTTTTAGTATTAGCGAGGGAAGATATGTTTTTATAATCGTATGACTTTAGTTGCTAATACATTAACCAATCGGCGAAATGTTGGGATGCATTTCTGCGGAATGTTCAAAAAATGAACCTTGTCCCTTGCATACCAAATGGACATTTCTCTTTCGACTGAAAAGCGCCTGAAGTTTTTCACATTTACGATTCATTTTAATATGCCTCTCTTCGTATGAAGGTGAAATCTTCATCCATCAACTTTGGTCATGGCTTTCCTCAAACTGGTAATTTACCCACCCAGAGCTTCTACAAATCAGTAATTTCCAATGCCTTAATTGCTATGATACAGATGCGATGCCGGTCGAGCCACTCAAACCTGTCGGGCGTGCTCAAACCTGAGAGTTCTTCAAGTTACGCTTGTGCTGCAACTCATTCTTCTTCACCAACTTCTTTCTCTCAGCACGCTTCAATGTTCTAGGGTCAATCAACTCATCTGGAGTACCCTTGACCTTCTCATCAATCTCCACCAACCACTGGTTGTCCAAGTCCTTGTTCTTACCTTTGTAACCCCACTTAGGAACCCACTCGCCAGTAGCCTCGTCATAAACCATCTTACCATCCTTGGCCTTGGCCTTGATGCCCTTCTTAGCAGCAAACTGCTCCCATTTCGTAGGTGGCTTGGCCTTTGGAATGGCCTTTTCTCTAGGTAATGGTGTGCTTGGCTCAGGCAATTGTATAAGGGTCATGGTAGAGTCTTGGCCCGCAGAGGTACCTTGAGCGTCTGTGGTGGTCTTCACGGGCAAGGACAAAACCTGGTTGATTAAGAGCTGCAAATTGTCTCTGGTGACAGCAGCCAAATGCTGTTCCTTCTGCTCGGGATCCTTCAAAAGGGCGTTGTCCAAAGGGTTTGGATCAAACGTGGCCAAGTTACCGAGATCATATGTGTTAGGAATAGGTTTCTTCACCGTAACTGGCTTGAATTCTTTTTGGTCAGACATGTTCGGCAGTGATTGATAAAAATGTCCTGGCTGAGATGCCTTAGAGATGCGCATCTCTGATAAAAAAAAGTGTGCGTGCAAAACTCATATCACCTCTAGCGATTCAGAATCTGCGCACTTCTCCATATCCAGACAGAGAAGATAGCCATGAAACCAATGGCGCCACCCGCAATGAGATAATGCTTGAGATTCTCAAAATCAGTAGTATCAGGATGCGTTTCGAGACCTGGTGTCGAGATGCTGGGGGTCTTGGCTGCGTCGACCAATTGGATGAAGAGTTCGTGTAATGATGTGGTCCAGGAACTCGAAATGTGGAGTGGAGAGCTTAAGAATAGATCTCTTGTATAATTTTCGGGCTGCACATCAGATCTTTGTTGTTGCTTGTCGAGATCAGCTTTCAAGGCAACAAACACTGAAGGGATCTCATCTAGGTAATTCAGGAACTTCTTGCGAAGGTCCACGAGGTACTGAAAGGAGTCTGGATCAGAAGAGTCGTAGGTGTAACAGATAACATCACACTTATCAAGAACACTTTTGTTTTCAAGAATGGCCGGCTCAAGCTGACCAAGCTCCTCAAGGATGAGATAACATTGTTTTCCGCCTCGAAGCTCGATATCTTTGACACATATTTTTGGTTGTATGGTGGGCGAGTAGTACTCACTGAAGGTACCTCTGATAAACTGCTCAAGAAGTGAGGTCTTTCCAGATTGCGGACCACCCACAACAAAGCAGTTGAACACATTTCTGTCATTGACAGGACTGCGATACTGCTTTCCTTGCTTTTGTCTAAGCTTGCGCTGCTTTGTTACTCTTATGGCTTTGGTGGAGTTTCCCTCGTCAAAGCCCAAGTAGGCCAAGTATTCCAAGGTAGTTTTGTGGTCAAGGAAAGTCGTTAAGTTCCACTGAGCCAACCACCCTTGCAACGAAACATAGCCTCTTTCATTGCAAACAATGGACGATGGAAAGTTTGACTCCTTCCAGAGCTTGGGAATTCCTGGTGTAGGCAAGAATAAATTAGAGAGTTCCTCTTCATTCAAACCACCGTCATTGTCCTTGTCAAACTTTAAAAACAAGTCAACAAAGAAACGGTAGCCGATAGGACTGAGCTCAACACTGGAGTGCTCGGAAACCTCGATGCTTGGAAAAAGAAACTTATCATTCAACGAGAGCGAGTTGGTGTACTGGAAGGCCCGTAGTATGCCCCATATTGTTTCATGGCGGCCCTTCTCGGCATACATCTTATTCAATATGATAAACGCATTTTCCGATATGCCCTTTGGGTCACCTTCAGACGGAAGGATCACACTGCTTAGACTGAGCACGATGTCGTCGAACTCCTCTTGTGAAGCCGGATGTCCAAAGCACTTTGAATGAAGGTCTGAGAATTCCTGGAAAGAAAGGTATCCATCCTGGTCTGCGTCACACAAAAAGAAAACACGCTTGAGTGCCTCCACGGCAGCAGGTTTCAAGTTACCCTCTTTAGAGTCAAAGATAGGCGAGATGGGGTGTGTCACTGCTCTTTGGCAAAGATAGAAAGCGTCCACGACATTGGCACTTGTTTTAGCGCTACATCTCACACACGCCTCGATCTCCTTGAATTCGTTGATGAGAGGAACGAACTCCTCAGCGTTCTGCTGCTTGAACGATAGAGGCTTTTCACTCAGACCGTGTAGATCGCTTTTGTTAGCACACACTATCACAGGCAAATTGACACCCAGAGCACGGAAGAAAGGCATCCAGTACAACAGGATCCGTTCATACGTGTAATGGTCCAGGTACACTAGAAGTATGACATCTGCTTGTTTGAGCTCCTTATTGAGCGTCATGCGGTCAGAGGCCAGGGTATCGACAATGACGGTTGTTGATGGAATATAAGGCAGAAGAGACGATGTGGAACTGTCAATTTCTGAGTCCTCTGATATCAGATCGCTCATGGCGACATAGTCATCTTTGGATATGGTGACTGAAGGTATGATGCTCTGAACTGAAGGGACGTATTCACCTTTCACTAAGGACGCTAGTAGAGTCAGCTTGCCTACGGCATCGTCACCGCAGATGACAATTCGTAGCGACATCAATGGCTGTTTATGGTGATGGTGTTATTGTAGGTGTAGTTGAAACAAGGCTGCGAAATCTAGTAGTGCAGTCCAGGTGAGCTGGAGGTGTTGACCTAGTGGGAAGAAGTAGTGATGGGGAGATGGAGGGTGATTTTGAAGTCGATTTTTCATCTTTTCTGCTGTATTCGTGATATGAAATGTTTACATTGTTTGTCACATTGGACTTTGCGTGATGTGTATCGGTAGAGAGCACCCAGTAGAACAAGCACCAGTGATATTCAGATTGGCTTCAGATTTTTCGAGACATGTTTTCGAGATGTTGAAGAAGAAAATAAAGAGAAGTTGCCCCATTGAGTACGTGATTACTCATCAAAAATTGTGTGGTTGTTACAGATGCTTGACGAACAGCCATGGAGAAGAGTACCAGTGCAACTACCATAACATCAGACCGCTTATACAAATATTCCTTTCTCCTTATTTTAACACATTGAAACAGCAAAATTGACCGAATCCATTAAACTTCTCCAATATATTGATTATGGCTTCGATGATGGACCCTTCCCATCCGAGTCAGTTTTCGCAGCCATTAGTCAACCACCCATCCCACCATCCACCGTACATTTCTTGATAAACTCCAACAGATCAAAAAAACTCAAAAGCCTAGAATTCAAAATCCCTCTATAAAGATCGCTTTTGTCTCGAAGGGCCGATTCCCCCACCATTTCCTTCATTCCTCTGACCCACCCGGTGGTGTCTGCACACCATCACTAAGCAGCATCTTTGATTTGTCGCAGCTTCAAAACCTCCAACTACACATTTATGTTACGATTCGTGCCCAGATTAGCTCTCAGAGCTCCGCTCAGACTCTCTAGCAGACAGCTTCCGCTAGCGCTGAGGCAACCTGCGCTCCGGATGTTCCTGACTGTGGAACCTATGGGTTCTTACGAACAGAAGATCTACGATATCTTGAAAAACCACTTTGACCCGCTGACATTGCAAGTTCGGGACATTCTGGGTGGCTGCGGCTCCATGTTTGCCATCACGGTTGAAAGCTCCCAATTCAAGGGAATCCCCATGATCAAACAGCACCGTTTGGTCAACGAGGTGTTGAAGGACGAAATCGCCCAATGGCACGGTCTTCAGCTCAAGACCAAGGCCGCCTAGTCGGACCTCCAAGAAACCAGCATATTTATTGTAAATAGAATCCTAGTCGCATTACCATTAACTGTATAATCTATGCACTTACTCGACCAACTCCTCGGTCTCCTCAATGATCTCCTCCTTGATCTCCTCGACAATCTCGGCCTCCACGTCGTGGTCCTCCACCTTCTTGCCCGCGTGCTTGGCACGGTACTCCTTCCATTCTTCAAGGAGTCTACGGCGCAACAAGATGGCCTCTCTGGTGGCAGCATCGGCCTCCATGGCGTCAATCTCGTCAAACTGGGCGCTGTACTCACGCAACTGCTTCTTGACCTTCTTCTGGTCGGCAGCCGTAAGCATAGAGGCGGGTCTGGGTCTCCAGATGAAGTCCTTGAACTGGTCCATCGAGTCGTCTCTCAACTGCTCACCAGTGAACTCGTACAATCTGTAACCATTCTCGATAGCGTGCACCCAGGAAGAAGACCAGGCAGCAACGGTTCTTCCAGATGGATCCCAGGAGATGTTGGTCATACCGCCGAACTTCTCGCCCTTGAGCAACTTGACTGTAGGCTTCTTGGTGGTCTCGTCCTCGAAGTTGGTGTCGTAGAATTCCAACTCACCAGAAGACTTGGCGATGGTAGCGACGACAATGTATCTGCCTCTAGGCGACCAACTGAGTGTGTTGGAGTGCTTGTTCTCGACCTTGGAGAGAACTCTGAACTTGGCTGCCTTGTTCTTGGTGGCAGGCTCTGTCGAGTAGAAAGAAACCAGGTTCTTTGGAATGGCTGGGTTGTTGTTACCGTCATCCAACCTGCTGATGGTGACGAATCTATCGGAAACTGGCTCCCATGCGAAATTGATACACACGTCCTTCAACTCCAACTTCTCAACAGGAATGTCTCTCTCTGTGGTTCTGAAAAACTCAAGGTTGGAGAAGAACGTCTTACCGGACTTGGTGTGACGGTCGACCTTCACACACAAGAATTTACCCTCGTCCTGCCAGTGCATCTTACAGTCGCTGACCTGGAACAAGTTGACGGTTCTGAGAACTCTTCTGGATGGAATTTGCATAAGAGCAACTCTGGCGGTCTGGTTGGCTGTTTCTGGGGTCCAGTAGGACAAGACGTGCTCGCCGTGCTCCTCTCTGGAGCCCAACAAATGGACACCAGCTGGAGCCCACTCAAAGTCGACAACACCGTCGATCTTGACCAACTTCTTGTCCAACAACTGGAAAGAGGGGGTCTCGTAGACAGCCAAGGCGTCTGGGCCTTGACGACAACAGTACTTGTCATCGAAAGACCACTTCACAAGAGGCCATGGCATGTCTTTCTGGTTCTCCAAGTGAGGAGGCAAAGCGAATGTTCTGGCAACCTCAGCAGTGGTCAAGTCCCAAATGACCAATTTGTGGCCTTCAGACTCAGGACCGAATGGGAAGTTAGCAGCCTCCTCGGCGTTGGTAGGCATAGTGATTGGGGCAGGAGACAAGGTCACCATGTACTTCTCGTTGGGAGAAAAGTCGATCAAACGAACCTGTGGGTGCACGAATTTGCTGACACTGTCAAAGTTGGCACCACCCCAGGACTGAACACCCTGTGGGTGAATCGAGAACAAGTAGGTACCCTTTGGAGAGAACTTGGCGTACTTGGAAGTGAAGCCCTTTCTTGGCTCGGTAACGGCCTTGGGGTCAACCTTCTTGTTGGTCCAGTAGACACCGACGGTTTCAGAAAAGTGCAAGGCAGCCTGGTCACGACCAGCGTCATCTTGCAACCAAGACTTCAAGTAACCGGTCTCCTTCATTGGAGGCACCTCTGGCTCAACGAACTCGTCGGCAACGTTGCCCTCGTTACAGTATCTCTCAACATCAGCAAACTTGTTGACAAGCAACTTGTGCTTGGCATCGAAAGGCTTGTTGTGGAAGGTCAGAACAGCTGCATTAGCGCTCTCTGGCTTCTTGTACTGAACAAAAATGTAGCCCTTGGTCATGTTGTCCTCGACTGGAAGGTACAAACCGGCCTCGCCCTCGACAATTTCGCCGACTTTGCTCAAAAACTTTCTCAAAACTTTCTCCAACAATGGAGCTTTAGAAGCTGGGGCCTTTGGAGTACCGTCCACAACCACGTAGTTGTCGAGCCCCAAGTCGGAGCTGACGGCGTACTTGGCCTCCAAATCAGAGAAGTCAAGGTCATCGACAGTGACTTCCTTCTCAAGTTCCTCGTAGGTAGGAGCTGGCATGTTTTTTTTGGAGAAGCTTGTTGATCTAGCCTGTGTAGCTTTGGAAAATTTTTCTAGTATGGTGAGGTGCACGGGTGCGCAGAGCAGTGTAGCGTGTTTTGCAGCCAAATGATATTAAAAGTACGTCATTGCTTGACCATGCCAACATTAATTTTTTTTTTTCAAGCATTTTTACCCACGGCTTCTCTGAGACGATCAATTTCTTCCTCGAGTTCATTAAACCTCCTCTTCGCCAGTCTATTCTCGTAGACCCTAGCTTCACGTTCTGCTTTCCACCTAGCTGTGAGCTCCTCAAGCCTAAGGTCGTATTCAGGAGTGCCATCTCCTTTTTCATTTTGCCTGGAAAGCTTGTCGTTTTGTTCTTCTAGTTGCACAATTCGCTTGCTAAGTTGATCAATGTGCTGCTCGTTTTCTTTCGCTCTCTGCTCTCTTTTGAGCAAAAGAGTGATATGATCGTCAACAGAAAGATCAGCTGCCTTAGCAAAATACTGAAACAACATCTTGTGACACTCAAGTAGATCCGAAATCACATCGTCAGAATAGTCCAGAATCAATGCATCGCTTTTACTGAGGAAATCCTTGATCGTCCTGATCTTCTCGATCGGCTCGTTGATGGAACTATCGTCAACCAAGCGATCAAACGTATCAGCAAGTTTGTTAAGCTGATCTATATCAAACTGATAAAGCTGGTGGAACCTGGCCTTGGCGTCCTCATCAATGGTGGGCTGCACAATCTCCTCATCAAGATGAGCATCTTGCAATTTCTCAGTGAGAATGTCGATGTTGCCTTGAAGTTTATTTTTTGCCTGATTGAGTTCTTCAACCTGGTAAGAGAGCCTGGTCTTCTCTGATTGAAGCTTGCGTTGCTTCTCAACAGCTGTGTTGAGGCTGATCTTCACATCCTCTAGCTCAGATACCTGATCTCGAAGCGCTAGCTGTTCTTTTTTCCTATTATTGAGCTGTGTTGTTAGAGATGTGATGGTCGAGCTCATGCTTTGTTTCGTCAGCTTAAGCTCCATCTTCAACTCCTCATGCAAGCGGAAAAGGTCATCGTATTCCTGGCGAAGATCATCGACCTTCCTGCTCTCCGAGTTGGCGTAGGTATTATCCACCACGGAGCTCTGTCTGCTGGAGTCTTCACGCTGGTTGATTTGCCTCTGAAGATCATCAATCATAGCCTCGTATTTGTTGAACCTCTCCTCGACATCCTTGCCAAATTTGTGGGGTGTGACATCCACAGCTTCCTGAAGCTCCTCGACCTTGAGTTCAAGATCACTGTATTTGGCCTTCCATGAGGCAATCTCCTCTGTCTGCTGGCCTAGAAGCTTTTCAGTCAGTCTTGCTTCGGTTTCATATACCTGTATCTTTTCTTCAAGATCTGCCACTTCCTGACGCGAGCTCTCTGAGTCTATTAGGGATCGAAGCAAGGGAACCGCCAGGTTTATGTAAGATGCAGAATCATGGTGCTGGACTAACTTCTCTGGAATACCAGAAGCCAGAAGAAGCTTCGAGATCTCGTCCTTCAAATCCTCGAAAGAATTGTGCAACTGATCGGCCCTCTGGTCTGCTTGACGCCACTTCACCTGACTTTCCTCTAGGTTAGCATACAAGTCTTCCACCAAGGTCGACATTTCCTCGTTCTCCTGTCGAAGTTTTGCCACAGTCAGTTCTCTCTCCTCCCATGTTTCGTGAAAATCGGTGATGTCTCCGGCGTCAATCTGCTTCTTGTCGATCAAGTCTTGAAGAAACTTGTCGTAGAGCTTCAACTGAATCTTGCAGTCTGTGAGCTGCTTCACCAAGTCCTCATGCTTTTGTGTCGATGAAGAGTCGACTACAGTTCCCAAATTGGACCTGTTGAGAGCCAGAGCTTTCCTGATAGAGCTGATACTTCTCTCTCCGTTTGTCAGAAGCCACAGCAGGAGCTTTCTTGCGTTTTGAGTAAACTTCCCGTCATCGAGGTCAATGGCCAAGTCAAATTGGGCCTTTGTGTCGTTCATAAATGATGAGTTCTGGAAGTCCTGACTATTCATATCCTGGCTGGAACGTGTTGAACTCTGGAAGCTCACCTCAGCTTTGGGTGGTGACACAAAAGGTGACAGTGTTGGTCTGTTTGGGGAGCTTCGAGAAAACAATTTTGAAAACGATTTCCTCACAACACTCTCATTTGCAGCATCGTCGGACTCGTCAAACTCAGATTCGTCTTCTGTTTGGTGACTTGGTGCAGCTGATCTGGATGGATCTGTAAGAAACGAACTCAGCTGAGTCAGTGGCACCAGCGACTCAAGCGCTCGATTGCTATTGGCTAGAAAGCCAGATTTTGCCTCTTCTGCAAGGCTTGTCATAGCGGCTTTTGTGTGAAGTTATAGCAAACGGGTAGTGGTTGTAGCGTGGTGATGTTTACTTTTCGCACCCATATACCCAAATACCCCAGACCAGGCATCGGGGAGAGGTAAGGTGATTTTGGCAGGTCCAGAAAGATAACAGTAAGAAACCCTTCTATAAATGGTGATAAGATTAAAGAAAAATTCGAGATAAGTGAGAATTCTGTATTTTTTGTGACACTTTGCATGGTATTCAGTATGGATCCAACGTCATGTTTCGCAGCCAGTATGAGCACTCCGATACACCTATTAAACAGTAGAAGCATGAAAGGAGTCAGGCTAGAACATCTCATCATGTCAATTCTTAATTTTCGTCAGCGTTTATGACAAATTGTATCCCATACAAAGCCCCCTTTTTACCTGAAACCACTTCCAGTCAACTAGCAACTTCTCTGACCAATTCTACACTTCCGCTCGTCATTACATTTTATCATTCTAGACTAGCTGGCCATCTCGGTGTCCTCGTCCTCGTCATCCTCGTCGTCCTCCTTGGCAAACTTGACCGCCTCCTCGAACAAGTCCTCGGGCACAAACTGGTGCAACCCATTGGTCTCCTCCGTCAGACACCACGACATTTCCAACTCGAAATCCTTGTCCTTGTTGTCCTCGTGGGCCTGGTATATGATTCTGGCAGCATGCTTAGCAGCCTCTCTCACTGTCAAGTTTTCAAAGTCCAACTTCTCCAACTCAGACTTGGCGGTTTGTCTGCCCTTTCCTGTGGCAGCTCCCGTGTAGCCCCAGTAGGTTCCACTGGGCTCAATCATGTACAAGTGGGGTCCATTTTCGTCGATACCACCCACAATCGAAACCACGCCAAACGGACGCACAGAGTTGTAACACGTGTAGTTCTGGACGTAGAGACCCAAACGGTCCATCAAATGGGGAACACTGACAGGGGTCTTATATATGTTCTTGAAAGATTCAGCCTCGTCACGGCCTCTGTTCACGAAATGACGTCCATCCGGTAACAACCCAGAGTAGGCCACACCAATGTGTCTATCTATGGTCTGGATTCTCTTGTTTTTGCCTGGAACAAGCAACTTGGAGTTGACAATCTTCTCTACTGCCAACACTATGCCGTCTTTGGCCTTGATGCCTATGGAAGTACCTCCGTTCTCCACTGCCTTCATGGCGTACTCCACCTGGAAGTTTCTGCCATCAGGAGAGAAGACCGAGTTTGAAAGGTCGTAGCCGGTTCCGATGGAGGTCTGGATGTTAGTGGTTTTACAGGTTTGGCTTATTCAATTGACATACCATGTTATCGTTGAAGTGTAGAGATCGCCACTGTCGATAATTGAGAACTTGGTGCCAGAGAGGTCATGTGACCCACTAGGGTAGTGCCTTCAAAACGGGGTATTTAACGGGAGAAATGGTGAAAAAATTGAGGGTATAGAGAAGGATTGTGAAAAGAGTTGAGAATATTGTGTTTCGTTGTGGGTGTAGTATTGGAACAGATGTTCTGGATTGAGGGCGCTCAAGCAAGGTTGAGATTTGTACGAAGCCACCTGCTTGAGAGGTCAAGGTGCCATCGAAAATAATCTACAATTCTTTTTTGAAGTGTTTATGAGGTGCTTAATAAAGTATTTCATGAATATAGGCTGTTTCCAATGCTTTTGCATTCTGTCAAATGTATGGTGTCGTTGTCAATGAATGGCTGCAACTGAGTGCACTTTCACCCTCCAGAACAAACCACAGGATGTAGAAGAAAGGCACAAATACAACCTAATGTAGTTTACTTGCTACTAAATAACAAATGTGACGAATTAGTGGAAAAGTATTGAGCTTGCATTATGATCCACCTCATGGCTATATCAATCACTAGACAGTCGCAGCAGCCTCAAGAAGTCCAAATCAACTTGACCTAGTTTCAAAAATTTTGAAACCACTTTCTTCCTTTCAAGCCAACCCCCTTCCCCTAAACCACAAAAGACCAAGCCTCCCTACCAAATTCCGCCGTTACCGTGAATCTGACGCACCCTCGGACTACTCCACACTGAATCGCACATTTTCATCTCCATCACCATGTGGCAGTTCAAATGGCCCTGGCTCGGCGTGGCCGTATGTACTTAAATCGCTATATTAACGAAAGCTTTCTAACCACAGATTCCACTGCTTCTCATCCTGGGCATCGGCACAGGCTCGTTGTTCTTTGTCTTTAGACACCATATGACATCAGAAGGTCAGCTCGCGTACTTGGGCCTTATGGTGGCCGTTGGGTTCTCCTACTTTCTAGCGGTGGTCACGTCACCAGGCAAACCACCAAAGGACTATAAACCACAGAAGAATCAATGGAAGGTTTGGTGCAACAAGTGCAATCTTTACAAACCTCCTAGAACCCATCACTGCAAACAGTGCCAGACGTGTGTTTTGGCAATGGACCACCACTGTCCATGGACAAACAACTGCGTTGGTCACGGGAACATGCCCCATTTCATGAGGTTCTTGTTTTGGGTCCTTGGAGGAACAGGATACACGTTTTATTTGCTTTCACTTAGAGCTTTCGAGTTCTACGAGGATCGCGACCTCCCAGCTTACCTTGTGGACCGTTCCGAGCTTGCTGCGGTGATTGTTCTTCTTTTGGTCGATGGCTTCGTCTTCTTTGCCATCTTCATCTTGGCTCTTCGATGTATTTTCCATATCGCCGGTGGAAAGACCCAGATCGAGGTATGGGAGATGGAGCGAATCGAGGCCCAGTTCCACACCGAGCGCCTTTGGTACCAGATCAGGAAAAATTATAAGGATGTTCACGGCAAAGAGCTTCCCGAACTCACTTCTTGGAACATCAGTGCACGTTACTACGACGGCGATCCTTTGGAGGTTGACGAGGACGTTCCATTAAGAGAGCTCGAGCAGGAGGCCGAGGAGGCAGAAGCCTCGCTTATTCCCGAGGCCTTCACTCCCGACGATGTTATCTTCCCCTACGATCTTGGCTTTTTCAGAAATTTCGTCAATGCATTGGGCTACCCATGGAGTTTTATTCTCTTTTGGGGCCTGCCTCGAGGAAACGGCTACGAATTTGAGTGCAACGATGACGATGACCAATTGAATCTTCCTTGGCCCCCAGATGGAGGATCTACAGACTTTGTGGCTAGGGAATACACCGATGACGAATTGCGTGAGTTGGGAAACCCTACACTTATCAAGAAGCATTTGGACCCTCGCAGCCGCATGCCTCGGAGTGAGTGGACCAACGACATGGGCGAGACGCTTCAGGATTTTGGTGTGGACGTTGACGGAGAGGACGATCTACAATTGGAGAAAGGTTCACTTGGAGAATGTGAAGAAGAAAGCGAAGCGGGAAACGCCATCAACGTGCCCGAAGTGGAACGCACGTAATTTACCAGTTTGGTAGTGCAAACAGAGGTCTGTTGAAGGTTGCAAACTGTGGAGTCATTGTGCAAACAGAAGAACGCAACAGCTGTGCAGCTTGACGTGTTCTCGCGCAAGCGAAAATGCTAATTGAGAGAGAGACGTGAAGTGGCCACCTACCTCGAAAACACCACAACACTTGACTACCACAACACGAGCATGTAAGGTGAGTGAATATCTCGTGGGAATTACGTAATTCAAGCATGACGCTTTTCTTTCAATTTTATCGCTTTTTTCTTGGGCATTGCTGAAGAATGCTGGGTGCACTTGAGTGCGTTAATAAAGTGATGGCACGTGAGTGCGGGTGATTTGGACAGAATGGCTGCGAATTCTCCAGCCTGCGGTATAAAAACGCTGGTCGGTCCCATTGCTTCATTATCCAACCATGACTGAAAAAACCACCTTGAGATTGGGCTCCGTCGCCCCAGACTTCACCGCCGAGACCTCCAACGGCCCAATTTCCTTCCACGAGTTCATTGGTGACTCCTGGACCATTCTCTTCTCCCACCCAGATGACTTCACCCCAGTGTGTACCACCGAGTTGGGTGCTTTCGCCAAGTTGCAGCCTGAGTTTGAGAAGAGAAACACCAAGCTCATTGGTTTGTCTGCTAACGGTACCGAGTCCCACAAGGCTTGGATCAAGGACATTGATGAGATCACTGGCTCCCAGTTGACCTTCCCAATCATTGCCGACCCAGAGAGAAAGGTTGCTCACGCCTACGACATGATTGACTACCAGGATGCCACCAACATTGACAACAAGGGTGTTCAGTTCACCATCAGATCCGTGTTCATCATTGACCCATCCAAGAAGATCAGATTGATCTTGTCCTACCCTGCTTCTACCGGTAGAAACACCGCCGAGGTGTTGAGAGTGTTGGACTCTTTGCAGACTGGTGACAAGCACAGAGTCACCACCCCAATCAACTGGGTTCCAGGTGACGATGTCATTGTCCACCCATCTGTGTCTAACGAGGAGGCCAAGACCTTGTTCCCTAAGTTCCGTATCATCAAGCCATACTTGCGTTTGACCCCATTGGAGAAGCAGTAAGTGCTATTGACTAGCCCTCTGTATAGATAATACGTGTTTTAATTGCAGTGTAGAAATGAGTGGTTTTTGGATTTGACGATCGCGCCACAGTTTTTTGTCCTCAGAAGAAGGCTTTGGACTCATTGACAAGGTGCATAAGCTGTAGGAAGGTTTAGCCGTGCTTCCATTGAAGCTTATGGGAATATCTCCCCGCATTGACTTTACGGGATCTATAGCACTAGCTTGATGATCGTATAACAGTATCAGTGGGTGCACCAAGTAGTCCACAAAGCATTGATAGGCCAAAGATAGTACAAAGACCATTTGAATGTCTATCATAACCTCAATGAAAATCAAAGGATTTTAATCACTTATTTTTTGGTCACGCCAGGTCCAACGTTGGAGAATGCTCCAGTGCTCCAGACTACTGATAAGAATGGCTGCGAAAACCGCCTTCAAGTGTAGATACTATGAGGTGAAGAAGAAAAGCAGCTTATGTAAACCGTTGCACTCAGTATTCGAAGCCTAATTAATGAAAAAGACTCCTTCGCCTTGCCCCAAGACAAAACTCTTCTCAGTCCCTTGGCCGGACTGCTATGCTCCTATACTACTCAAAAGACACCCATCAAGGCAAGTTGAACGAGACCAGGTCAATTGCCCAAAAATGACCTTCCCTCATTTCAACTAAAGATAATTATTTCTCTTTTCCCAAAAGACCGTAATCAATCCCTCGTGTGCCCTGGTCCTTCCTACCTCAACCCCAGTACTGAGCATTTTCGCACATCAACATCACCACTCCACTCTCATCAACCAAACCTACAAGCCATGAGGTCCACATTGCGGCGCTGCCTGCTACCACTTCGGAAAACAGGCTCTTTTAGGAAACTGCTCCGTCCCCTAGCGCTGGTCGCCCTACAATTCCCAAAATCGCTTCCTTTGCCTTCAGGTCTTCTCCGTATAAATGGGTTACCCCAAGGACTGGTTGCTTTCCTGGAGAAAAACGACTTTGATCCTGAGGAGCAGGAAAGAAAGGCCAACTTGGGTGCTCTAGTGGACGAAATCCGTCTGCTTGTGCCCGGCATGGTTCACGAAACGCTTCCAAAAAGTATAGTGCTGCCCGATATAATGCTACGGATCTGCCCTTCACATTTCGACCAGATGAACGCTTTTTTACCAAACATAAAGGGACACGTTTCGTATTACGCCACCTGCAAAGCCCTTCAGTTGTTCATGACGTCGGTGGTCGTGAACCCCAATGTTCAACTTCACATCCAGAGCTTACGAACCACAACCGCTTCAGACTTGCCTTGCGTTTACCCAGACTCACAGAAGATCATAGTGAGATGGACAACCTGTCCAGAGGGCTGTACTCACCTAAGAAGAAAGGTCAATGGCAGCCACAAAACAGGAGATGCTAAGCTAGGCAGCCACAGATGGTCCAGAATCGACACTGACAAGTTTGTGGACGCCCAGGAGAACCCATACAACTGGCTGCTTTCTTCATCTTTGGCGGATCTTACCAAAGGCATTATCGGGCTCAAAAAAGAAGAGGAAGATTTGGAGAGGGTGGTGCTGGGCATCTTTATCTTCGAACTCAACACAAAAAACGATCAGATCGTCGCACATACCATTGAGGATATGGACGTTGTTGAACGCAGGGAGCTGCAAGGCGTTGATGGCAAATTACGTGTGTGCTAGGCTTTAAAGACCGTGACGACTACTTTGTATATATAACCATCTCATCGTATATAGCATTCAAATGAGACCAAACAATTTGGAACGCTTTTTTTCCTCCTCTCCTACCAAGAGAAGAGCTTGTCTAGCCAAATATGAGGCTCGCTCATGTTTGCCGAAGGGCCTGCCTTCAAATTTCGAAACAGAATCCCAGAATGCCTCACTGTTCTTGTCACTGTCAACTTGGAATCTATCCTTGGTTTGTAGAGCACCGAGAAGGTTTGTCGTGAGTGCAAGCTGCCTGTTCATCAACGTTCTGCTTTCCAGCAAATCAAGCATGATCTTAAACTGAACAAGCAAAAGCATTGAAAGAAGAAGGCTTCCCACGGTAGCAAAAATTCCAAGCGGTGAGTTGTACGAAAATGAGACCTTCTCCTTCTTTTTCTTTTGCTTGACCACTTTTGGTTGTGGTGCCACTCCCTCCTCCTTCTCCGCCGCTTCGACATCAGCCTTAAGCGCTGGTGGGCCCGAGGCGAGGAAAGTGTGCTCCGAAATCTCTTTGTGTAACAGTTCTATAAGATCCTTTGCAGCCGCTGCTTGTGCAGATTGCGTCAGGTTTTCAACCATCTTCTTGATCCAAGAGGAGCCGGTCCACTTAACGTGATACGCTATGCGGACTCTCGTAGTATTGGCTTCACCCCACGTGAAGTAGTATCTTGTCCTTACAGTGAATGCACCTCCAGAAGGCACATCCGGAGTAGACGTCACAGAAAGTAACACCACATAGTCTGCAAAATTGAGATGCTCAATGATTTCACTCACGATACATCGCGTGGACTTAGGACCAATCGAGTAGCCCAAAGCTCTTTTGTAGACATACTTTCTCTCCAACTTTGTGGGATCGTCTTCCATGGGGTGGTAGTCGTCGTACTTTGTGATTTCTGAAGCGTCATGAGTCTCGAGGAATTTGGAGTGGAAGCCCGTGTCGTTACTTCCAAACAAGATATCAAAAACCGTTCCCATCGGAGCCGATATTGTGGCCTGGCAAATCTCACTCTCGAGCTCGCCATCTTCGAAGGTTTTGCTCACGCTGGTTGGGTGGTGTGTTTCTGGTCCCATGTTCTTGTAAGAACTGTCAGGTTTCAAGCGCTGGATTTTTGTCGACACTATTTCTGAGTCTTGTGACGGAGCATCATCTAAGCTTTGTTCCGTTTCGGGAGAGTCGAGCGGTGCCTCCGAGTTGCTATAATCGCTTTCCTCGTCACTCTCAGATTCCGAACTCGACAGCGCATTAATTTCGCCATTTCGAATTTGCGGAGCGTCATCCTCGTCTATAGAATTGATGTAAGAGTCTATCTTTCCCTCTGTGCTGGAGGAAGGATTATCCCTTGATTTGATGGGTAAGGGTGGAGAGGAGTCGAGCTCGCACTGTTCTTTGCCTGTGGATGCCAGCCATACTGTCCTAAGAAAGTCATATGTTGAGTCTCGGGAAAGGAAACTGGCAAAGTTGTGCTTCGCCTCTTTAGTCTCGATAGAAATGCCGTTGGGGAAGAGACCTGCAGTAGACTTCTTGTCAATTCGCTGGATATCTTCAAACGGCACAATGAGACTGGTGACCCAGCCCAACAAATTCGAATTGAAGCAAAGCGAGCGTTCGGTGACGTAAAGTCTTCCTTGTAGCAAAATCTCTCTACTCAAGGCACACGCAAAATCGTCCAAGAGTCGGTCTGTCAAGTCAAGACTCCGGAATAGCTGGTGAAAGTCAACATTTCTTTTCATCGTGGCGTACCTGTAGTGTGTGTCCTTGTACTTGTCAGCCACGTACAACTTCGGATCGAACTTATCTCTCTCTAGCTCGTTCTGCTGGTCGACAAATGCCGGCCCAAGACCTTCGGACAAGGTCTTTTTATGGCCCTTTCTGTAGGCGATAATTTTAGGAGATGCGGCGAATTCGCCTGAGCTTTCTAGCGCCGCTGCCGCTGCCATTTCGCTGAGCTGGGCGCTCTGGGAGTCCTGCTCCTGCTGTTTCTGCCATATTTTGATCGAATTGCTGAGATCTGTTTTCGGCGTTAGCGGCGGGCTAGAAGAGCCCTCAGCCAAGGCGTTGGTGGAGCCTTCCTTCGACATGACTGAGCTGGCATCTTTCTTCGTTGTGTGGGGATCAGCAGGCACTGCTTTTGGCATGAACCCGCTTCCCTTGCCGATGGACGCAGAAGAAGGCCCCGGCAGACTGGCCGAAACGGAACGAAACAGCATGATATCTGCTTTGTTTGTAGAAATTTTGGGAAGTTTCCGTCCCTCTGGCAGTTCAGGCCCGGGTTTCTGCTCATTACTGACAGAGCCGTTGGGACTCTCTTCACCACCTTCGCCCTCTAGAGGTAGAAGTTCGGTAGAAGGCGGAAACGAATAGGACCATGCGTCGTCATCTTCTTCCATGGCGGTTATTGTGAAGAATTGTGGTACGTGGTATAATAGACTAAATCACAGTTGAGTCTGTATCATTGTGCAGACCGCCTAGACAGAGCGAATGACGTTTTCTTGGGTGCGATTCACTTGACTACCAGTACTACTAGTATTCTACAAGATTTTCGTCGGACTGTTTATTCAACAAACAGGTAGTCCTATGCAAATTAAATACCTCAACCAAAGCCTGGAGTATAAAAAGAAAAGGCATGAGCAGAATTGAAGGGCCCTGCTAGTCGTTCATGACCATCGCAGGAAAAGAGCGCTAGAAAGCAGCTTACTGGTTCTCGGGACGCAACTTTCTCACCTCCTTGCCGACCTTCCAGATCTCCATGTTTCTGATGGTCTCCAACTCCTCCTCCAATCTCTCTCTGTAGTCTGGGGCACCGTTGAAGTCCAAGGATCTCTGGGTCTCGGTACCGTTTCTCACAGACTCGTACAAGTCGGTGAAGACGGGCTTCAAGGCGTCCTTGAATCTTGGGTACCAGTCAAGAGCACCTCTTCTGGCGGTGGTGGAGCAGGCGTCGTACATGTAGTCCATACCGTACTTACCAATCAATGGGTAAAGAGACTGGGTGGCCTCCTCAACGGTCTCGTTGAAAGCCTCAGATGGGGTGTGGCCGTTCTCTCTCAACACCTCGTACTGGGCCAAGAACATACCGTGGATACCGCCCATAAGACAGCCTCTCTCACCGTAAAGGTCAGAGTTCACCTCTCTCTCGAAAGTGGTCTGGTAAACGTAACCAGAACCAACGGCAACAGCCAAGGCAATGGCCTTCTCCTCGGCCTTACCAGTGACATCGTTCCACACGGCGTAAGAGGAGTTGATACCTCTGCCCTCGAGGAACAAGGATCTGACGGTTCTACCGGAACCCTTTGGAGCAGCCAAGATGACATCAACGTCGGTTGGTGGCTCAACCTTGGTCAAGTCCTTGAAGACTGGGGAGAAACCGTGGGAGAAGTACAAAGTCTTGCCCTTGGTGATCAAAGGCTTGAGCTCGGGCCAGGTCTCGGACTGGGCAGCGTCAGACAACAAGTTCATGATGTAAGTACCCTTGCCAATGGCCTCCTTGACGTCGAACAAGTTCTCGCCTGGAACCCAGCCGTCCTCAATGGCGGCCTTCCAAGAGGCACCGTCCTTTCTGACACCAATGATGACGTTGAGACCGTTGTCTCTCAAGTTCAAACCCTGGCCGTAACCCTGAGAACCGTAACCAATCAAGGCCAAGGTGTCGTCCTTGAAGTACTCCAACAACTTCTCTCTTGGCCAGTCGGCACGCTCGTGGACAATCTCCTCAGTACCACCGAAGTTGATGGTTTTGAGGCCACGGGTGGCCATTGGGGCGCTTCTGACAGCAGTCTTGGTGGTGGCTCTGGTAGCCAAAGCAGCAAGAGATCTCTTGGCGGCCATCTGCTTAGCAGCGGCACCGGTGGCCTGGCGGGCCATGCGCATGGAAGCGTTTCTGAAAGACATGATCAGTAAAAAAGTTCTTGTTGGTGGGAAAAAAAAGTCCAGGGATTGGGCGCTCTTTATATGTCGACGAGGCCTGGACAGTGAAAAACTTTCCTCCCCGGTGCAGGCCCGGTTCCGGCCCCGCAGTACCGCAACGCAGCGGACGCATTTTACAATCGTGCTTCGCCAATTGGAGCATGCCAATGTGTCATGTCGTGTATTTTCTGGTTTTCTGAATGAGGATTATTGGATTGTCAATGTGTTTGACATTTCTTTGAACACCGCTGGGCCGCGTCTATTACTCATACTTTGGCTGCAGGCTTGTAACCCGGATGTCCGGTGATTTTGTGTGACTTTTCAGGTTTTGAAGAATTGGGTCGTTGGTGATGGTGGTGATCTGAAGCAGAGAAGGTTTTGTTGATAGTTTGGGTTTTTAGTGTGAAATTGTGTGAACGAGTAGGCGGAAGTAGGCTGGATCCGAGGATGCATGCGAATGATTCACAGATCGAGGCGAAGGCATCTCAAGAAGTAGCGTTAGTTGGGGTGATCTCAAGAGAATGTGATTGAGTAGTTGGAAGATGATCTGTAAACGTTAATCGTTGCTATATAATTCAATTGCTTCGACTCTATAAATTGTTAGGGCACCCAATGTCTATGCTCCTATACATCTTCAAGATCAGAATCGCTTGCAACCTACAAGCACGGCTCAAACGTATCAAGCCGCATCTTTAGGAAAAAGCTAAAATACGCTTTCTTTGATTTTTAGAAAATCTATAAATCTTTCAAGTCCTCGCAGTCATTGCCAAATGCATTTATGGGCCTTAACGTCACTTGCACCCGTCAAATCCTTTAAGTTGACTTTTCACAAACAAACTCTCAAATCAATCAATGCATATGAATGAGCCCCGCCTCAAAACCTATACCGCAATATTCAGAACACGAATATACTCATCAGCTCCGCTACCGCAAACGGCCCGATTAGGCATGAGTCACCTGGACCGGACCAGGTTCTGTGCATTATCAGCGGACCGGTACCGCGCCGGTTGTGTGGGGTTCTACGCACTGTTTTTATTTCATCATTCATTAGGGCTTCGTTACTGTCATAAATGCCTTATACCATCACCTCCTTCTCCACTATGCGAATGTTCCTGCCATCCTCATCCACTGCCTTGTTGCTCTCTTCGATTGGCATTGGAGTCACGCTCTTGGTGCTCAAGCTGGAAAACAACTTGTTGAACTCGGTGTCATCGAGCTCATCCTCCAAGTCGTACCACAGCTTGGGCTGGTACGTCGACTCCACAAGCGACGGCACAGGAATGCTATGCTGCTTGACCAGCGGAACCTCGACCGCAGCCACCGCCTGGGTGCTTATGTAGGTCTCGCTGGCCTTAGTATCCTTCTCTTCGATCTCTTCTTCTTCCTCATCGTACTCCGTTCTCTTGGTAGAATTGGTGAAGCCATCCATGTCAAAGAGGTCCTCCACGCCATCGTCCTCGACGTCGTAGAGCTCGTCTTCCTCCCACACGGTCAAGCCGTACTTCCAATTCTCCTCAAGATCATTAATAAAAGCTTCGAGGTCTCTGCGCTCGATCTTGCGCACGTAGTTGTCAATATCTTCGTCATCACCACCCACCTTCAAGAGGCGGGTGAAGATCCGAAAGCAGTTCTCGTTCATCGAGGGGTAAATGTCGTACAACACCTCGGGTTTGTTGTAGAACACGAAGTTCTTAAAGTTGAAGTCACTCTCTAACGACTTCTTCATTGACTTGTTCTTGCGACGGAAAGTGTCAGCCGAGCCCCAGACGTCGTCGTTAGCACGAACAGGCTTGAAGGGACTCGTGCCGAATACAGCTGTCAAAAGCGTTACGCCAAAGGACCAGTAGTCTGTATAGCGACAGTCGATCTTGTAGGACGACTCTGCGAGAGCACTATTGGCAAAGCACTCAGGCGCCATGTACTTCTCTGTGCCGACGTTGAAATCGCTCAGAAGACGGGAACGTGAAGCCAAACCCCAGTCACAGATCTTGACGGATCCATCCAGGGTGAACAAGATGTTCTCCGGCTTCAAGTCCCGGTGGTAGATGCCCTTGGAGTGGGCGTAGGACAAGCCCAGGTACATTTCCCTGGCCAACTTCCACACGTCCACGGCACGCGGGTGGGACGCCAGCTCGGCGTGGATCACATCGTACATATCGCCGTTCTCGCAGTACTCGAGCACCAAGACAATGTACTCGTCGGTTTCGAAATGATCCACGAGCTGGCAGATGTAGGGGTTCTCTGTTCCCAACAGCTTGAGAATGGCCAATTCGTGGCGGGCCATTCTGGCCACCTCCTTGCTAGACTTGAGCATGGCCTTCAAGGCGACCTTGGTACCTGTCCTGACGTCATCAGCTAGGGTCACCTTTCCGAAGGAGCCCTTCTGGATGTTGGACACGAAGCGATACGTATCGTTGAGAAGGCCCTGCTGGGCTTCATAGGCGGTATGGGTGGTCATGGTGTAAGAAGTCGATTTATGAACAGGAAAGGGTGCTGGGTATTAACAAGGGAAGGGGGGAGCACCTATGAACAAGTGTATCGATGAATGACGTAGTTGGATATGATTGAGTGAAGGGCTGATGTGTGATTGATAGATGAGTATGTGATGGATTCGAGGAATCCGATCTTGCCAGCAAGACGATATATATGTGGAGGGGAAGTGTAGGTGAATAAGTGCGGGTGCGATGCTATATATCTGGGGTGGAAGATAGGAGAAAAGTGTGGAACCGGGAATGCAGATTAGTCACAAGAGTGCGGATCTGGACCGATAACGGCTCCATTATAGCCGTTGGGTCATCAAAAAGATAAGAATAAGAGGATTTTTGATACTGTTGAAAAATGTTGATTTTTTTCTGCCCTCCCAAAAACCAAAAACCGCTACGTATTTCCCAGATTTTTGCCCTTTCGGCATGGATCGGAATATTGCATTACGGTGGGCTGACTGTGGGGCAGATAAGCTGGTCTGGTGCGCCTACACCGGTCCGCTTTTTGGGTCTCAGTACACAACATTCTGGATGGTTCCATTGGATTCCACAACGTCTTGTTTTTTGGAGGTTATGTAGTTTTTTGCTTTTTGGGAAGTTTCAAAAATAGCAATCCTTCAGTAACCGGCTTTTCAGGCGGATTCTTCGAAAATCCATCAACTCTCCCCTCCTCAGTCTCATCTGGATGCGCTACTGGTATGGCTCAGAAGCCACAGGGGTGCTTGCCACAGCGCCACGGAGGTCATGAAACGGCCTACTTTACCAGAACGGTGAAATTGCAGAAATTCCAAAAAATCGATCGGAGCTGGGGCTTTTGTGCTCGGACCTTAGGCTGTGGTGCTTCTTCGCTGCACGCTGGCTTACAGTGAATCGCCGTGGGACGGAGGTTTCTTGGTGAAAAAGAAAGAAAATGAGCAACCAAGCCAATCGCTTTGTTTGGTGGGAAACGTGTTTAGGGAGCAGGTCATGTCTTTGTTTTCGTCCAGCTTTCCTCATTGTCT